GAGAGAGTGAGAGAGAGATGGAGAGCTCGGGGAACCGCCGGCTCGCCGCAGATGGTGGCAAACGGCATAACGAGGAGGAGGAGAAGGAGAACGAGGACGAGTATGTGGAAGAGGAGGAGGAGGAGGAGGAGGAGGAGGAGCACGAGGAGGAGGACGACGACGAGGACTGCCCGCTTTGCTCGGGCCAGACGAAAAAGGAGAAAGGAAAGGGGGGAATATGATATCTGCAGCATGCAGCTGGTTTCGGTCCCGCCGAGGGGCCCCTTCCTCTACGCACGGTCGCCTTCGGCGGCAGGAAACATTAGGAATGTCAGCTAATTGCGTGAGCGGCGGTGACGGCGCCGACGTTCCCTGCCTTTGCCGCCTTTGCCTCCCGCCCCCCCCCCCTCCCCCAGCCCGTGCTTCTCCTGTCGACTTCTCGCTGGCGGCCGGGCTTCGGCGCTAATCGCAAGCGCCGCCGCGGTGTGTTTCAATTTGGCGGGCGCCACCCCCACGAGTCGCCCGAGCAGGGAAACTATGTTTAATCACACGGCCCGCTTGTTTTTGTTAATGCCAAGCTGACATTATGCCCACTTCTTGGCGATGCACGTAGGAACTCCACCAGCCTTGGAAGAGGACTGCGAAGCTTCGCCACCTGATGGGCAAATTATACTTCTCCAATTGTTTTTATCGGCCGCAACCCCAAGACCACTGCAATTGTCCAACGCGGCATGCGCTTCTTGGGCGGTCAATGCATAAGCTTATTTTTTCCCTCCGGTGGAGGCCCATGCTGCGCTGAATGGTGGGTCACACGCTTCATCTCTATGCACGCGTGTGTTGAGGATACTCGTGGAGGTTCATGCTGGGTTGTATGGTTGGTCACATTTCTCACTCCTGTTTTCGTCGCGCTTTATCCGCGCTGGGTTCGCTATATTTTTGCCCCGCGCGGGGTGGCGGATATTGAAGCAGAGGTGGGGGCTCGAGAGCGCTTGGGCACGTGGGGACCTCTGCTTGAAATTTGCCTGATTGTCTGGGGGGCGGGGTGGGGAGAGCAACAAAAAAACATGTTTTTGTCCAACACTCTCTTGGCCGAAGGGCCCAGTGCGACGAATTTCTGCCGCAGAATTTGAAGGGTGTGTTGCGCCACCTGTGGCCCCACCGTCAGAAGCTAGCCTGCCCTTGACCTGGGGCCCCGGGTTCGCGGGGAAGGCCCCCGACCCCGCGCTTACCAGTTGGCGCATAGAGAGACTTTCGCCTTGAGTTTGTGGGTCCGCGGGGGATGCCCCCGACCCCGTGTCCTCCCCATGGCACATGGAGAGACTTCCATCATGTCTTTGTGGGCACGCAGGGGCAGTTATCGAAGCATCCTTCAAGAACTTGTGGATCCACGGGGGAAGCCCGTGACCCCGTACCTTCCAGCAGGTGTCTTTGTCCGCCGTGGGGACAGCCTCCGACCCAAGAATTTCCCCATCGCACATACCAGCACCCATCCCAATTTCGTCGTCAGACAACCTCTCCAGTTCCGAATCGTCAGCATGGGGTGGGATCACATCCAGTAATCACTCATGGAAGATCCGCTTCAAAGCGTCCATCTGATTCCGTTGGAATTTGACGATGTCCACCCCTGGTCTCCATGTCAGTCGTGCCCCGCAAGAGGTTGAAGACAAATGTTCGGTGAGGGGTGGCGGCCCTGTCCAAAGCTTGCCTGCACCATGTCTCAGCGATCTCTCCCATGGACATGCCTGGGTGCCTCCCGAGCAGTTCCCTTCTCATCCCTGTGTTGGCGCCCAAGCCCATGGATATCTCAAAGTTCGGCACCCACCATCTCGACCAATGCTCCAGGAGATTAGATCCACACTGAAGCAGATCCGTCCTCTCAGTTGTAAGGTCATGCCGTTCTGCCTCCCACTCAGTAGCAGGGCCCGTGTCAGGAGGAGGAAGAGGAGGAGGAAACCCCCATGACAGTAGGTTCACAATCACATCCAGACCTATTCCTCCACTTTGGCACTCCCACATCTCAGGGAGGCGTCTCGGCAAAACGCTGGCAACTTGGAGCCCAAGGCACCGCGCCGAAGCTTTGGCACCTGGTTTTTGCGATCTAATGCCTAGCAAAAATTGGCCGATTGTGAGCCCAGCAGACGAGGTCGATACGTTCTCCTCTGGGTCTTACGATCTGACGACCACTGTCTCCGACGTCCGTGTCCCTGAGCTTCCCTTCCACAACAAACTACGACGCTGAGCCTCGCGCTTGGCTTCCAAGGTCCTCTCGTAGATCACCTTGAGCTCGCACGTGAACTTCTCGGATGAGGCTCCAGTTTCTTTCCAGGCCGTTGCTGCCGATGCTTCAGCACCTGTAGAGCTGCCTCCTCCTGAACCTGACGAGGGAGAAGACTGGGTAGCCCCAGCGTCATCACCTGAATTGCCTGCGCTCGGGCTGTCACTTCTGCACAGGATCATTCTTACGCGTTTGCTGCGTGCTGCCATTCACCAAGTGTTTCCACGTTGGCACGCTGTTGACCTGCCAAAGTTTTGACCGTGTCAGTGAACTACGAGGCCAGAGCAGTGCGGAACTGAGTCTCAAACACCGCCGTGCGCCTCTCGAACTCTTCCTTGTCAGTACCCTCCAACTCGACGTCCTCGAACAACCCGCCGGAGGACAAGTTGAGCCCGGCTTCCTGGTCCGAGAATTCGCAGACGTCCAGCTTACTGACCTGAAGAGACATGCCTCCCCCTTGTGCCAACTCCTTTGCCACCGTCCCGTCCCCTGCTGTAGAACTGCATCAGCCAAGTCCTTCGGTCTTGAACTACACTAGAACATGGCCGCCTCCAACTCCAAGTTGGGGCGGGCCATCGTATCTGAGTGCTTTTCCGAAGCATTCTGAACGTGCTCGACCTTCCTGGTAGACTGCGTAAACGTAAAGAATCCGGCTTGGACACAGCGGCATGTGTCGGTGGGGCCACTGTTGTTGCCAACATCCTCGCTTGCTCAGCGCATGGACATCCATGAGCCGCCAGCACAGACAAGACTTCCAATCCATCATCATTCGCATTGTGACTGCCGTAACCATTCGAACCGCTTTCACCGTGCCAGTTCCACCGTGAACTAGGCCCATCGTAGTTGGGTCGCCTCTTGAGGGCACTCCCACGAAACTGACACGTCCACTCGCAGTGCTCCATCAGGCCCTTACAGCAGAAGTTCCCGCATGCCGTGCACCGGTTCCAGTTCGGTGTCGGACCCCCGCGATTTTACGATTTTTGCGCGATGCCTCCTCCTTGTCCTCCTCCTCCTCCTCCTCCTCCTCCTCCTCCTCCTCCTCCTCCTCCTCCTCCTCCTCCTCCTCCTCCTCTTTCTCCCCCTGGTTTGGGCTGCGCTGGGGAACGAACCTCTGGCCATGCGGGTGCGTCACGTCTGCCCGCTCCCAAGGATGGCCGCGGACGGTCACCCTGCGGGGTGGAGGACAGACGGAGGCAAGAGAAGGATGGAGGAGGAGGAGGAGGAGGAGGAGGAGGAGGAGGAGGAAGCTCATCCTCACCCTCGCCAACAGGCGCACGCACCTTCTTCTATATACAGAAACTCCCGATCAACCGCAGAGCGGCCGGCTAGTACGACCACTCATGACACTGCTGATGCCACGAGCTGGCGTCCTCCTTTGGTGGTGCAGTCCACAGGGCGGGGATCACAAGACGAACGGATGTGGGCAGCCTGTGGGTGATCCGGGGCTTGAAAAAAAGGGCTGAACAGCTTGCTGCGGAGTCGTAGCTTCCTTGCAGTGCCTTGGGGCTGCACAGCCCCCAAGTCAACCATCTTGGGCCAAAATGGCTACGGAGAGGAGCAGGGTGTGGGAGGAGGAGGAGGAGGAGGAGGAGGAGGAGGGGGAGGGGGAGGCGGGAGAGGGAGGAGGCAGGCAAGGGGAAGGGTGAGAGGCTTCTTTGGCGGGAGGGCGCACGCCGCAACACGGGCGACGGCGCGCTGCGCTCTTGTCGCCGTTTGTTTGCCAGTCCTTGTCTCGCCTCCTCTCGCAAGGCCGCAGCCGATGGCCTTCTGTGGGCCCTGCGTCGGTTGCAGCGTGGATCCACTTGGCCCCTGCAGTGGCAGCGACCTGAACGTGCAGTTGCCTCCGTTACGGCGAGGCGCCGTACGCTCGGAGGATGAGACGGGTGCCCTCGGAATGCAGCGAACGCACAGCCGAAAGGAAAGCAGGAACGCAGCCGAACGCACGCAGAAACGCAGCGAACGCACAGCAGCAAGCCTCATGGCCCGGCCGAAAGGATCACAGCGAAGAACACATGCTCACTCCTCCTCCCACTACCCCCCTCCTTTCTCACTGGGGCGAGGGGAGCGGCCTTCTCAGAAGGCAGGCGGCTTCTTGGAATTGATCGGTCAATTCCTCCTTCGCCCAGCTCACTTGTGCGCACCGCCGACATCCCACTCCCCGTCCCAACCCATTCCACCTGGCATCCTCATCCACAGACCTCCGACGTCGTGATATGTTCACAAAGTGTGCCCCCCGAGCTCCCGACCCCTTTTCCGAAAGATCAAGGAAACACCGCATGCCGCGATGTATTGATCGCTTTTTTGTTGTCCGCGTCCCGTCCCCATCCGCGCACACTTTTCAGGTGCCACAGGGCTGGGAAGCCTTGGAAGAACTGGGTGGTGGTGCACACCCCTCCTCCCTCCCCTTGCTCCTCTGATACCTTCAGGAGCTTCGGAAAACCGCGACAGCAAAAGCCCCAAAGCGTTCGTCATGCATGCGAATACAAGGCTTGGGTCTCCAGGGCCTTCCCCCCACCAGGGGCTGCCAGACCATAGTAAGTGTTCCCCCCCCCAAGGCTTCCCTGGAGCCTCTTGTGGGCTCCCCGAGGCTCCCAGAGCTTCCGAGACGTGCCGAGTGCACTCTTGCATATCCAAAGGAGACCCCCCCTGCGACTTCAGGAGAGCCCGAAAGGCTTCGCGGCAACCCATAGACAGCTCCAACAGTCCACAAGAGGGCCCCAAGAGAACATCCTGACCGCCTCCGTAGCCATTTTGGCTCAAGTGTTGGCTCAAGCATTGCTCTCTCACTCCCTGGTGAAGACGACCCCTGGACCTTGCTCAAGTGCCGCGGAGATGGTGGTGGCATCGGCCCTGCTGCTCCTCCTCTGTGCCCCGCGCGCGGAAGCCCAGTCGCTACCACACCTGCGCATCGCCGGCTCGTCCACGGTGAAGCCCGTGGCGGAGCAGTGGCAGAATGCGCTGCTCCTGAACTACTCGATCACGCTCGAGGGGGGCGGCTCGAGCACGGGGGCGCGGCGCGTGTGTCTGCCACCGAGCGACCCGGAGCACGTGGACATCGGCGACATGTCTCGCGAGTGGAAGACCTCCGAAGCGCAGCTGCTGGACGACGGGTACACGTACGAGTGCCTCGAGAGCGGCAACCGCGTCACGCAGATCATGGTGGCCATCGACGGCCTGGCAGTGGCCGTCAAGAGGGACAGCGCGGCTCACGCGTGCATCGAGGCCATCGGGGGCCTGACGCTCGCACAGCTGCGCTGGGTCTTCTCCGACTGGAGCGATGCCGAGCTGGAGGCGGACGGCGTCTCCATCGAGTCGTGCGTGCCCAACATGGACGACGACGCTGTCAAGGAGTGGAGCGACCTGGACGCCAGGTGCGAGGAGACGCCGATCAACCCCTACGGCGCCGGCGACCAGTCTGGCACCCACGACTTCTTCGGGGAGACGGTCCTGGGCGACTTCGGGGGGGCAGAGGGCTTCCCGGACTGCGACGCCGACGATATGCATTATCTTGAAGGTCTCGACGAGGATGCTGCGGACCTCTACATTCAGTCTCAGCGGACTCCGAATTGCGTCATGCCCTCGGAGGATGACCATCTCCTGCTGCAGTGGCTGCTCGCAGACACAGGGGGCATCGCATATTTCGGGTACGCTTACTTCGCCCAGTTCACCGACACGGTCGCTGCCATTGCGATCGCGAAGGACACGGAATTGGGGGTGTTAGACACGCTCTTGGCCAAAATTGTACCCGATAGCGAGAGCATCGTCGACGGCTCCTACTCGGCGTTCAAGCGCGATTTGTACATGAACGTGTATAACAACGCATGGAACATATCTGGGAAGTTCTTAGAGTTCGGCTTCAGCGACGCTGGACAGGAACTCGTCGAGGAAACAGGGTACGTGAAGGTGAACAGGGACCAGCACGCCGATATGAGTGTCCGCATTGGTAAAGGCGTGATGACTGGAGGGAACCTGGAGGCGGACTATGTGCCGGTACCTCCCGACAGCTGCCCTGTTGGGTCGGGCCTGATCTCATGGGAGTTCACCAACGAATTCGGGAACGACAAGATCGGCTACGCATGCGAAAGCTGCGCGGCCGGCACGGTGAAGAACAACGACGAGTCCAGTCCTTGCGATCCTTGCCCTCCCGGTTTCTTCACCAACGAGACGGGCCAGACGACATGCGAGCCGTGCCCCCAGGGCACCGCCGCCACAGAGCATGGCTCGAGCAACTGCTCCATGTGCTCCCTGAACGAGCACCAGCCGCTGCCCGGGCAGGGGAGCTGCCTGGCCTGCAGCACTGGGCGCTTCACGGAGCTCTCCGGGCAGTCCACCTGCATATCGTGTGCGCTGGGCACCTACATGCTCCCGGGCGGCAACTACACCTGCGAGGCGTGCCCCGCGGGCATGACCACCATCTATAGGGCGGCCACGGCCAAGGAGAGCTGCAAGTGCGCCGAGGGGACCTACCTGGCGGAGGGCGGCGGCCTGGACGGCCCGTGCGTCGACTGCCCAGACGGCATGCAGTGCGCGTTCGGGAGCACCTTCTCGAACTTCTTCGCCATCGACGGCAGCATGAAAACGGCTGCAGATGACGATCAGCCTTTCCCGATGGTCGAGGAGGGCTACATGACCCGGACAGACGATCTGCTGAGGGTGTTCAAGTGCAAGACCAAGAGCCATTGCCCAGGTGGCCTGCCCGCTACCTGCGCACGGGGGCGTGACAGCGGCGAGGTCGCCTGCGCAAGGTGCGAGGACTACACGTACGAGGAGGGTGAGGAGTGCCACCCTTGTAAAGCGAACGCTACGTGGCTTGTTCTGTTGGCATGCTTCGCTGCCGTCGTGGCAGTCTGTGTTGGAACCATATCCGTTAACCGTAATCTGCTGATGCAGACGAGCTCGACTTTGATGTGTGTCATCATGGCTAGCCAGATGTTCCTCGGCCTCCAGACGTTTTCGGTCTTCACTTTTTTCAGCCTGGAGTGGTTCGAACCGTTGCGGGGCATGCTCAAAATCATGTCCTTAATAAGCTTTGATCTCGAAATTCTGCGCATATCTTGTTCAATGGGCTCCAATCCCACGTCGAATTACGCACTTCGGCAATTTGTTGCTCCGCTCGCGGTCCCGTGGATCTGCTTGACCGTGCTGGTCAAGAAACAGTTCGATCCCCAAGCGATGCACTTCAGGGAGGCTGTCAACACCATCGGCACAGTGTTTCAGGTATTCTTCATCTCGATCGTGCTCTCAGCAACGGCCCCCCTGGTGTTTTACGACCACCCGAACGACGCTGGCAGTTCGCTCGTGAGCGATCCGGCCGTCCTCTACTTCGAGAGCGACGAGCACTATTCGATGCTAGCGGTTGGCATTCTCGCCATGGTCATGGTACCCTTGCCATTCCTGTCTTTCGTGCTCTACGGCACTCTGAAGTACCCTAACTATGCGGTCACGGTGGGCGCCGATACCAACTTCTTTGGGTTCGCCTCCTTCCGTTTCTTGTTCTTTCGCTTCAAGCCGTCTCGCTACTACTACGGCTTGATCATGCTCGTGCGGAACTTGCTCCTCTGCCTCGTGCCCGTCATTATCGAGTCGGACGTCGCCGCTCAGGTCATCTGCACGTCCGTCCTCATCCTGGCCACCATGGTGTTGCAGGTGGAGCTCGCCCCCTGGAAGCTGGCGGCGGCAAACTACGCCGACGCGGCCTGCAGCTCCACGCTGCTGATGGTCCTCATCTGTGGAGCGATGGCGGCGAACGTGGACGTCCAGAACTCCTCGATCCCGGCCTTTGCCTCCGTGCTCGTCGGTTTCTTCTTCGCCGTGGGAGCTGTCCTCGTCGCGGCCTCGGCGTTTTACTACTTCAAGCCCTTTCCCACGTATGCCTTCTTCATCTGTCATCACCGAGAGGGCGCCCAGGCGCAGGCGCGGCTGCTGAAGATGATACTGACGTCCAAGACAGGCCAGCCGGTTCTCACCGACACGGATGACCTCATGCAATTGGATTCGTTGTTCGACACAGTCAAGACGCAGGTTCACCATTTGGTGGTCTACTTGACGAGGGACACTCTGAGCAGGCCGTGGTGCGCTGGCGAGATCGTCACTGCACTCATGTGGCGCAGGCGGGTCACTGCGGTGGTCACGGACAGCTTCGTGCCGCCGAACGAGGTTGACTATGCGGACATGGCCAAGTACCTGGACTTGAGCAGTTGCTCCCTGAACGCCTTCGGCATCACGACCGACAGTGTGGCCACTGCGTACCGCAGCCTCATGAGCGACGACGTTCAAAAAGTCCACATGCGCAGTGGCGTGAAGGGCATGGCCCGCTTCGAGGAGGTTACCAACTTCCTCAGCGACTGCCAGGAGGTGAGTGCCGCGTCGAATGAGACAGAGGCCAAGGCCAGCGCCGAGGCCCTCCCCAGGGAGCCCAGGGCGGTCTTGATCTCCTCCGAGCCCGGCAACGACGAGGCCCTGGCCGCCGCCCTCATCCTGCTGCAGAAGATCCAGCCCCAGCTGAAGGGCCTCGTCCCCGAGGGGGTACGGGTCATCGACGAGTACGCCAGGGACGAGGGCGCGATTGTCAATGCCGTCGCAGCCGCGCGCGCGCTGCTGGTCCTGCTCTCCCCAGGAACGTTGGCAGCCTCCGAGCAGATCACGGCGATCGAGCAGATCATGCTGTCGATCGAGAAGGCCGGGAATGAGGGCGTGCCACCTCCCGCCGCGGTCTCCGTAGCCTTGTCCTGGGGGTTCCAGGTCCCCTCCGACGAGTACTACAACGAGAAGATCCGCAGGGTGACCCAGGGGGGGCAGAAGTCAGCGGCGCTGATCCGCTCGTTCTTCCAGCAGGGCGCGGTGCAGTTCTCCGTCGGCGCCTCTGAGCAGATCCTCGAGGCGCAGGTCTCGGAGCTGGTGCTCCGCGTCTCCCGCGCCGAGGCGCAGGAGGGCCCCAAGGAGCAGGCGGAGCACGGCACGGAGGGCGAGCACAGTGCGCAGGGCCAGGGCGGCGGGACCGCCGCGGGCGGCGAGGACGAGCCAGCCGACGACGCGCCGCAGAAGGCGGGCCCCCCTGCGGGCCCTCAGCAGGAGGCGGGTCAGGGCGGCGACGACAATGCTTCGCTCCAGGTGTAGCGTTGACTCGAAGCCGAAGCTCGGTGCCCTGCGAGGAGGCCCGAAGAAGAGGAGAGAGAGAGAGAGAGAAAGAAAGAAAGAAAGAACGCTGGTGAGCACAGACTTTTTTTGTCGCTCCGTGCGGATTCCTCGGATCCGCGCTGGGCACCTTTTTTCCCTGGAGCGCTCCGCGCGCCAGGGAGGGCGCTGGAGGCCCCCTGCAACCGAGGCCATGTCGGCCGACCCAATGCGTGCCGATGCATGCTGGATGCGGGCCCTTCAGCTTGTTGTGCCGAACCTTGGCACGCAGCCATTATTGAACGTTGCGGCTGGGTGTGGAACGACCTACCACATGTGTCGAGCCTGCTACACTGACATACGCTTCGTATGCCCCTACCTGGACGGGCAGATCGAGGCAGCGTTCATGGCCATGTCCTCCCAAGCGGTTCCCGACATATCTGGGTTGCGCGCATTCTCTTTTGTTTCTTCCCCGGCGTGACCCGGCATATCCGGGCAGCGCACATCTACATCTCCTCCCAAGCGTGACCCGGCAGATCCGGGCAGCGCACCAGCGCGCTCTCTTATGCATCATGCCCGAGTGCATTCTGAATGTGGCAGGCACGTGGGTTGCCAACAGTCACCCGATACAGCAACGCTCGCCGCAAAGTTTGGATTGCAGCGACTTGTTTCCCATTGTGAGCCTGCATCAGGCAGTCCCGCCATGTCGGTGCCTGCTCTGCCTTGTTCCCGATGGCCTGCGTCTGTGCGTTTGGCAACCTCAACATTCATTCCGCCTTCTGCTACTCGGCTTGTTCCATCTCGCTCGATCCCACCGTGTGCCACTCGAATTGTTTCACATGTGTGCATGATCACGCAGCGTTGCATTTCAGTTGGGCAGTGTTTTTCCATGCCTCGCTCCAGGGCGGGATCTGACCTCAGCCTGGGAAGGTTGTGCACTCTGCTACCGTGAAGTCTACCCATAACGCAGCCAAGCGAATCCACACCGTGAGGTGTGCTCTCTGGCATCCGTGAAGTGAAGTGCAGATTCTTGCTCCCGCTCCTCCCTCCTCTCCTCTTCTGTTTCGTCCCCTTCATCCTTCTCCTCCTCTCTCTTCACCCTCTGCCCTTCTCGTGAATTCAGGCTGGCCAGGCTCCTGCACAGCTGCTTTCTACGGGGCGGCTCGTTCGTGGAATTTACGTTCACTGAATGACAAAGGGCAAGCTCAGATCTGACTGACAAAGGGCAAGCTCAGATCTATGAGATCCTTAGAGGGGCGAAGGCCCCCATGCCCATCTACCTTCTCCTCTCCCCTTCTACTACTACTTCGATGTTGAGTGTAGTCCTGCCTCCGACTCTGTACATAGTCAGACTCGTTTAGGTCGTTGCCGTGTGCGAGACTGCGATTTTCCGCGTCCACAGACAAGGTCGGTGGTTGACACAATAGTGCCGCCAATAAAAAAGAAAAAAAAAAAAGAGAGAGAGAGAACATCCTGACCGCCCAGATCTATCAAACCACTGGAAAAAAACAAAGGAAGCCCAAGGTTTCTGTACTTTCCCATACATAATGGCTCCTCCCGTCTCTATCCCCCTCCTCGTCTTCTTGTTTCTCCTCCTCCTCCTTCCTTTTCCTCCTCCTCCTCCTCCTCCTCCTCCTCCTCCTCCTCCTCCTCCTCCTCCCCCTCCTCCTCTCCTCCTCCTCCTCCTCCTCCTCTTCCTCCTCCTCATCCTCATCCTCCTCTCCTCCTCCTCTCTCTCCTCCTCTCCTCCTCCTCCTCCTCCTCCTTCTCTCCTCCTCCTCCTCCTCCTCCTCCTCCTCCTCCTCCTCCTCCTCCTCCTCCTCCTCCTCCTCCTCCGCCCCCCCCCCCCCCCTCCACCTCCTCCTCCTCCTCCTCCTCCTCCTCCTCCTCCTCCCTCCTCCTCCTCCTCCTCCTCCTCTTCTTCCTCCTCCTCCTCCTCCTCCACCTCCCCCTCCCCTCCCCCTCCCCCCCACACCTCCTCCTCCTCCTCCTCCTCCTCCTCCTCCTCCTCCTCCTCCTCCTCCTCCTCCTTTTCTTCCTCCTCCTCCTTCCTCCTCCTCCTCCTCCTCCTCCTCCTCCTCCTCATCATCATCATCATCATCATCATCAGCAGCAGCATCAGCATCATCAGCATCATCAGCAGCATCAGTATCATTCTCATCCTCATCCTCATCCTCATCCTCGTCCTCATCCTCATCCTCTTCCTCCTCCTCCTCCTCCTCCTCCTCAGCCCTCCCTCCCTCCTCTATTCATGCTGTCCCTCACCACGCAGGCTCGCGCGTCCGTGCGCACGCCCGGGAGAAGCAAGAGGAAGAGCAAGAGGATGAGGCAGAGAAGGAGCAGGATGCGAATGATGATGATGATGATGATGATGACGACGATGATGATGATGATGATGATGATGATGATGATGATGATAATGGTTATGATGATGGTGATGATGATGCTGATGATGATGATGGTGATAGTGTTGGTGATGATGATGATGATGATGATGATGATGATGATGACGATGATGATGATGATGATGTTGATGCTGCCGGTGCTGATGATGATGATCATCCTGGTGGTGATGCTGGTGCTGATGGTACTGATGCTGATGGTGATGATGATGGGTATGGCGATGATGATGATGATGATGATGAGGAGGAGGAGGAGGAGGAGGATGACGATGATGATGATGATGATGATGATGATGATACTGATGATGATGTCGGTGGTGACACTGATGCTGATGATGGGGCGTATGGTGATTGCGATGGTAATGATGACGATGGTGGTGATTGTGATTGTGATGGTGATGGTGGTGATGATGGTGATGATGATGGCGTCGATGGCGATGCTGATGATGATGGGGATGATGATGATGATGATGCAGTTGGTAGTGATGATGGGCATCATCATGGTGGTGACGATTGTGATGATGATGACGCGGATGACGGCAATGATGGTGATGATGATGATGATGATGATGATGATGATGATGAAGGTGATGATGTTGGTGGTGATGTTGATGATGGTTGTGTTGGTGATGCCGACGGTGTTCGCCATGATGGTGATGCTGATGATGCGGATGTTGATGTTGCTGATGATGATGATGATGATGATGATGATGATGATGATGATGATGATGATGATGATGATGATGATGATGATGATGATGAGTGTGAGGATGATGATGATGACGGTGGTGGTGTAGATGCCGATTCTGAGGAGGAGGAGGATGTGGAGGAGCCCTAGGCCCTAGACCCAGAGCACCATGTTGCAGTTACATCGAGGGCCCTGTAGATGCGATCCTCCAGGTTTCCTAGAGGCCCAACGGGGAGAATTCCGTGACCCCGAACTCAGAGGTAGGGCGCCCGAAGACCCAGAGGGCCTTTGGATAAAACAATCTCGGGATGGCATAATACAGCTCGAGGCGAGATTAAAAACGCATCAATGCTGATCCAGAGGGACCTCTGAGGGCACGGAATATGAGTTTGAAGGTGTGCCCCTACCCAGACCCCTTGCCACCAAGCAGCACCATGGACGTTCAGGTTACCGCGCGCTTGCTTGGCTTCACCATCGATGCCGAGAATATGTTTCACTCCTCCACGAAAGACTCGGGATGACAAATGCTTCAATAAGTTGCTCAGGGCCCCCCTCAGGGAGCAGCTGAAAGCCCCAAAGGGCCCCCTCCACTTCCAACTGGGCGATGGGGGTCCCCACGGGGCAGCACACTTAAGAAAGGAGCTTCCGACTTGGCCTTGAGCCATGACGGCCCCATCCAGGGTTTGGACGCTCTTGGGGTGGAGGCCGAGGAAGTGTCAATGGTTTTGCTCATCCCGGCAAACCCGCATCAGTTGGAACAGTTGGTGCTCAGAAGCTTGAGAAGGCGGGGCTAAGTGGGCCCACGCTGATACAAGGGCGGCGGAGGAGAAGGAGCATGCTTTCAACGTTTGCGATGACGGGTCTCCAGCAGTTTGCCCGAATGCTGGTCTATCCAACTAGGTCGAGGAATGGTCGAAGGCATGGAACGCCAAGGAGAGCCGCAAGCCGACTCCGTTCGTTTGGCCCGCACTTCCGACCCCAGGAGTTCCGAAGATCGAGGCAGCCAAGCAGATATCCCTTTCCTCCAAGAGCAGCACGATCGACATTGACTGGCTTCCTTCCAGACACGTCGCAGCCCTCTCGGACGGGCGCTGGCCATCCGTTGCAAGATGATCGCCCTCATTAGAGCGTGTGGACATATACTTCTGTAGACGCACATGAGGATGATTTCGTTGGTCGCGAAACCGAAATCAGGTTTCAGACCGATCGGCTTCTACCAGAGTCTAGGCAGGATAGCGTCGAAATGGAAGGCCCAGGTATTGCGTGGGTGGAAATGGACCCTTGAGAAATATGGCACGTTTTACATGGCACCACGCAGACAGACTTCGGATTCAGCTTGGATGCAGGCCATCAGTGGGGAGACTGCGCTCATTGGCAAAACGTATCTCTTCATCTTCCTGGGGGATCTTCGGCTGCGCTAAGAGCATGCACGGCACGAAAGCTGAGAAGGGACTGCAGCTAGTTTCGCACACCCGCTGTACGCGCTGCAGCATGCCATTGTAACCTACCGGTGGCCCAGAGCATTGATGCTGGCTAGTCAGGTTTCGCGACATTTGTTTCCATGGCAGGGTATTGTGGCTGGTTCCAATACAGCTGCCTTCGATATCAGGTTTCATACGTGCCCAGTAGCTGCCACGTACCCAGCATTGGAGGAATGGCCTAGCATAGACGTACACATCGGCGACGTCAGCCTCAGACGTAGCGAGTTATCCTGATCTATGGGCATCAAGCAAATGCGTCGTGCTCTAGCTTATCTCGTGGACCGCTTCACGAACGAGCTCGGGCCCCCGTTTGCGGTGGGTAAGTTTAGCACGACAGGCAATTCGGAGTTACTCGTGAACATGCTCTACACTGAATGGGTTGCCTCGCGGGCCTTGCGGGCGGCGAGCCAGCGACCGTCGATTGCGAAGGCCTTACGGCCGGTGCCGCCGACCCTGTTCGCAATGCGCAGCAAGAGGCACGGGCTGTGGGATGGTTTTGGGGAACGGGGAGAAGGACGAGAAGGTGGGGGAGGGAGGTGTCGTATCTGACCCGGGACTTCCCCGGGACTCCCCTGGGACCCCCCCCGGGACCCCCCTCCCCCCCCCGTCGGGGAAGGGAAAGGGAAGGGGCTTCCCTTCGACTCAATTACGACGTTGCTCAAGGTCGGTACGGGGGGGGGGCGTCGTATCTGACCCGGGGGGGGGGTCGCTACCCCCCCCCGCTACCCCCCCCCCCTCCCGGCGGGGGAGGGATCAAAGGGAAGGGGCTTCCCTTCGACTGAATTACGACGTTGCTCAAGGTCGGTACGGGGAAGGGGGGCGTCGTATCTGACCCGGGGGGGGGGTCGCTACCCCCCCCCCTCCCGGCGGGGAAGGGATCAAAGGGAAGGGGCTTCCCTTCGACTGAATTACGACGTTGCTCAAGGTCGGCTTGGCTCGAGCGGCTCGGGCGCGGCTCGGGCGGCTGGGGCGCAGGACAGAGACGACGAGTACAAAGAATAACGGAGATGACGGCTCGAACGGAAAAGCCCCTCACACACGCCGACAGGGTCGGCGGATTTGGGCTGCGATTTTGCCCCGGCAAGAATCGCGCGCAACCCCGCGCCGAGAAATAACGACATGCTAGTGGGGGGGTAGAGCCAAAAACAGGCACATCAAGATTGCGGCCCTTGCGGGGCCCATCGAGGGCAGACGCGCGGCCGGGCAATCGCAGGCTGGCCCCCCAGGGGGATCAAGACGATGAGGATAAATGAGGCTGCGGAACTAAGCCTTTTATCTGCAGGTACCAACCTAGAGCTAGCGTTGATATTGGACTCAGAGAAGGTTCACTCGAACCACGCGGCGGCCAGTCTAGTACGTCATTGCAGAGAGTGGTGGATGGCCACTGACACGCAGCTAAAGGCCCGCGACGGCACATCGCCCTTGGATGTGAGTCGGGCCAAGGACCACGTCGAGGGCCCCCCCAAGAACTCCAGCTGGGGCAAGAAGAGCCACGGGGCCCCGGGCGGGGAGGTGCGGGGGGGCAGGTGGCATGTTCCGCTGGGCTCAGAAGACGCGCTGGAAGGTCGCCCACGCTGCCTGGATGCGCAGGCCTTGCGAGGCTGAGTCTCCCCCCCAAAAAAGCCCACCCCCTACGGTCAAGGCCTATCTCACCGAGGACCTCCGCCCCACCCCCCTGGCCCACGAGGCCCCAGAGAGGCACCCGACTGTTTCCGGCGCCCCCGACTGCGCCCGGTGGTTCGGGGGGCCGGCGGCCACAAACGATATCTGCGACAGAAGGCCATGGGCCCACCCCCAACAGAGCTTTGGGCGGTCAGACAGACACAGGCACATCGCGCGACGATTTTTTTGCTGCGGCAGCGCG